GCTTAAGGCAGACACTCCTACCAAGACTCATGACACCTGGTGCTTTGCATCCATGAAGACTCGACAGTTCCATTTTTGTTTGCCTTTGTTTGCTTTCTGACCAGTGCTAATTGATACTTGAAGGAGAGGTAGTCCGTGTTGTCTTCTCTTTATTTATGATGAAACATACACGGGAAACCTCTTTTTTAGTATCAAATCCCACCCTGGAGGTACTTCCTGTCCCTGATGAAGCCTTCAGGGAAGGGACCTTGACTGCTGTACCCTGGACTGTGGGACATGGGGGTATGGCCTCAGGACTCGGCCTGGGAGGGGAAGTCAAGTTTGAAGAAAGGCCAGGGTCCCTGTGGTGGTGGGAGGCTGCCCCCTGTGGCTTTGGACTGTGTGATGACTCTTGGTGTGTGGTGGCTTTTCAGAAGGTCCTCCTCAAAGTAGCTGTAGATCACTCCAGCAACGTGACTGAAGGGCCGATAGTGGCCTCTGCTTTCAGGGTAGCTGTGAGGATGGTAGACCGGTGACGTACACTTCATTTATGATGTAGGTCACCTGTTTCACTATCCGCCAGTACCCAGACCATCTGGGATGACGCCTTGGTGCACATGGCAGCTGTAAAGAAGATGTGGGTGGGGTTGAAGCCAGTGTGAATCTAAAGTATTTCAAGTGGGGTTACCTTTTAAGGGAATTCTTGTTTTGCTTGTGTGTGTCCCTGTAAGTACGTGTTCACATGGTGTGTGTGTGTGTGTGTGTGTGTGTGTGTGTGTGTGTGTGTGTATGCATGCACAGGTATGTATGTGTAGGTATGTGTGCAGGCTAGAGGTCAATGTCAGATGTCTTCCAGAATCATTGTCCCCCTTATTTTTTGATACAGGGTCTCTTGCTGAAACTGGAGGTCTCCGATTGACTGGCTGGCCAGTGAGCTTGTGCTTATCTCTACCGCTCTGGTTCTGGGATTGCAGGTGTGTACACACCTGGCCTTTTTACACTTAACCCAGGTCCTCATGCTTGTGTGGCAAGAGCCGTCTCTTCCCCAACTCTTCTTCCTCCCACTTTTTAATCAATAATGTCAGATCATGCCATAGGGAGCTGCAAGGCTGACCACAGATAGATTACGAGAAGGGCTGTTTGATATCAGTACCCACAGGGAGCCCCACCCTAGTCTATGCTAATGTAGGATGTTTGTGGTACCTGGTATGGGTTCACTGAACCCTCGGGTGGGCCAGGGGTGGTAAGTGTGGGCCAGGAGCTATGAACCCAATGCCAACCCTGCTGTGCGGTACTTGAAGAAAAGCCATGAGGTAAACTTACCATGGGTGTGACTGGTGTTTTATGGTCCATATCTTTACAGTGAAGAACTCCATCCTGGAGGACCTCCTGATTGGGTAGCTCTAACCCAAGCAGGGGTATTGGTGCCTGCAGTACTCCTGGTGAGTGATAGGTACTTTAGCCCAACATCAAGCCCACATCTGTCAATAACTTTGTCTCTGCTCACCGCCATGTCTGTTGTTCAATTTTGCTTGTCTTTTGAGGATTAAACCCATTGGCTGCTTCCCAACACAAGTTCCTGCCTAGGACATGTCTTCCAGATGTGACATCTTCCTAGGGGAAGGACACTTGGAGTCACCGTCGGTGGAAAAGGTATGAATGACAAAGTGTTTTGTCTGAAAGCATACATTTTATTTATATGTGTGTACTGCTCTACTAATTCTGAGTATGCATTCCATACCTAGGAGGAATTCCTGATGCATCCTACCCTGGGGGTGAAGGTGGCTTCCTTGGCCCCTCCCCCCGGCTCCTAGCAAGCGGTTCTCATGGCCACCGCAGAGACACAAAAGTAAGTAAGAGCCATCAGACTGAGACTGGGACTGTTGTGCTTCAGCTCATGTTTCATGGGCCAAGCCAATGAAGGGTGGGGAGGTGCCCTGCACCTGTGAGGTCATGGTAGTACATGTGCAGGCATGGGCAACCAACCATCTACCTGGAACACCCAAGAAGTCTTGCTTTATTCATGTTCTTTCATAGATCAGTGTTCCATTTCCATTCCCCGCTGGGAAGCTAAGGCTCAATGTAATCTGTTCTCTGAAACCCCATGTTATTTACATATAGTTTTGTCCAGGAAACATTACCTGGTTCTGACAAAGGCACAGATACCTTTTTGGTTCCCATCTCATGAAGATTTCCTTGGCTTGGGACTCCCCTATGGTACACAGGTTGCTATCCACTTCTCTAGTGGGCAGGTGGTGACCTTAACTGGGAGGTCATGGGATGCTCCTCCAGTCTTATCCACGGATCCACAGCCAGACTTTGGGAAGCCAAGTCAATATTGTATCATCTTTCTCCAATATTTGAGGAGACTCCAAAGAACCCCCAAATGATGACTAAGCCAAAGGCGGCCTACAAGATCCCCATTCTGCCTGCGTGGAGCGGGCACAGCTGTGAGAGCCCCCTAGGTACAGCGGGGCTGCAGCGTGATCGCCTGCTCACGCACAGGAAGTGACGGCAAACAGTACGCAAACTGCAGGGTTCCATGCTGCTGACATACGGTGCTTAATGAGAAGTTGCCCGTGTTTTTTTCGCTTTATATGTGACGAAACATTCGCGGTGCACTTCTTTTTCAGCATCCTATTCTACATTGAAGACTTCGGGGTTCATCTGCTAACTTCAGGGAAGCCATGTTAGTCTATGTAGTGGGGCTGGGTTGAGGGTTTATCTCCCTTCTTGAACAGTTTCCTGAGCTTTCTTAGCAAGAATGGGTTAGGGTTGGTTGGACCCTCCCACCTCCTCCGTAGCTCAGCTTTAAAGGAATCTGTTGATTCCTTTCCTTTCAGCTGCTGTTGATTGAGAGATGAGACCTTAGCCCACAGGGCTGATGAGATACAAGGAGGTATTTGTTGAGACTTCTGGGAGAGGGGGTAGTTCTTCATTTCTTTGAGAGATGCCCAAGGACCCCCATGTTTCCTTCAGCCACTTGATGTGGTAATGAATGTGAGCTTGAAAGCCAGCTAGAATCCAAGAGGTCAATACCCAGGGCTCTGTAGATGCAGAGGGAAAGGCCTGTATCCCGGGGGACAGATTGGAGAGGCAGAAAGGAGCCAAGAAACATCTGGGTAACAGAGTTCAACCTGGGACCTGCGTCAAAACTCAACATGTCTCTATACCTTTAAGTTGTATGAGCCTGGACACCTCCTTTTTGTGTAAGTTGCCTTGAATTTTACCTTACTGTGAGAGAAATGGGTGACTCTTCCTTGAGTTTCCAATGAGTGTAATTGGCACTCTTTGGATGATACGTTCTCTTTGCTTGGCTATCCCTGTTGTCCTGTGTAAGGTAGGTTGGTGGTACAAGGTCACATTCTTTTGTGGAATTCTTGGCTGCACGTCAGGTATATTACTGTCTCTGTGCTTTAACTTTGCAACGACACTAACACGCACTAATGTGTTTTGTTTTCAGGGAAGGATCACGTAGCCTCTTCAGGAGACCAGCAGGGTGATGGACAGGCTTTACCTTCCCAGACTTCCCACCCTCAGAATCCTGCACGCTGCCATTCCTACCTCATCCCTGGGCTTCAGAGTTCTCCATAAGGTGTCTGCCATGTGTGTCAAGTCACAAGCCGCTGCTGTACAGGGGTGACACTTGCCTGCAGGGCGACCAGAGAGGGGGACATCTCAGTGGGGAGACCCAGGAATCAGAACTGCAACAGGCAAGCCCAGCTGGTGTATGCTGCCCTGGACGTCATTACCCAGTCCTGTGTCCTTTCTTCCTCAGCTCTAGAAAGGGACCCTGGAACTCAGGAAGGAGAGTCTGTCTTGGAGTTGGGCACCCTCCCATCGCGCCTGAGTGACACTCTCCAGGGACACTGACAAGGGTAGAAGCCAACGTTCCAGAATCCTCAACCTTGATGGTCAAATTCTACCCGCCAAGCCTTCCTGGGATGCTAAGGTAGAGGGGATCTGGGTTGGATTGCTCTGGGCATGATGAGCACCGTGCCATCTGCCTCTGCTCAGGACCCACCTCACCCTGCCCCAGTCTAGCCTTGCCCACCACCCCTCCTGCCTGCCCCTCAGCATCCCTTCACCCCCAGGCACACTGCTGGAGCAAGCAAGAGCTCATCTGTGGTACCTGAAAAGAAGTCGCCCGTGTTCTTTTCGCTTTTATTTGTGACGAAACAAACATGGTGCACTTCTTTTTCGATATCAAACGTCACCTTGGAGAGCTCCCCAGGGGCCAGTGGGAGGGGCCAGGGCTCCTAGGCTCACTTGGTACTTTTCTCCATGCGCCCCGGAGCATTCGCCCCAAAGAAACACACCCCACCGCCACTCACTCCCACCCTCACCCTCACCCTCACCACCTTCACCCTCACCCCATTGGCTCTGTGTGTTGCTGGGTTCAGGGACACTTGGTGTCTGTCTGCCCCCCCCCTCCTGGGACAGGCAGAGTTGGTAAGGGGAGCCAGGAAGCACACCTCTAGACTCTCTTGTGGGACTGAGGTCAGATAAGGGAAGCTCAGAAAAACGGTCAAACACATCCAATCACAGACGGTTTACATAACCCAACCACCAGTACAAGTCAGCCACCAGCGCCCTCTGGAGCTGACAAGTGCCTAGGTGTCAGCTCCAGGGGTCTACACCGAGACCTGTCACCTGTTGAGTGTCCCACACACTGTCACTCTAGAAGAGCCTGGGCCTCCGGCACAGCCCTGTTCCCGCTTCCTGTCCTGTCCCCATGGGCTGTGGTCTTTGATACCATCAGCAAGGTCTTGAGGGCTGTGGGTGCTGGCTATGACCAGGACCAGGGAACAGCAAGTCATCACCAGCCACTGCTGTCTGTCTCTGGTCCCCGACGTTAGTCCCGTCCGCGCCCCCCCCACCCCCCCCACCCCCGTGAGCTGTCCTCTGGAGCGAGTGTGAGGCTCTCTTGAAGACAGCTTTTTTCCCAGTGGATTCATCTTCTTTATGGCTACTGTTCTCAGGTAGCCTCTCCTCCTGGTATCAGATTTGCCTTTGAGCGTGGCTGTTTGGGTGCGGACCCTTGGCGGCTCTCTTATGTGAGTAGAGAAAGGGATACCATCCAGAGTGTTTGGGTGTGAACACCTCATCCACCCACCTCCCCTGGGGTGGAGGGCGGTTCTTGAAGCTGTGTCAGCAGGAGTAAGGGTTGTGGGATCGCTCTTGGGCCACACTTTGCTAACATACAATCCATTCCTGTTGCTTTGCTTAATTTATAACCAAAGCTTTTGGTACACTTACATATAGCTGCTGTCATAATTCATCATCAAAACCCAGCACTGACTTCATCACACAGATATCACTATATCTGCCACACACTTAGCTCTTGGGTCATACTGGCTCAGTGATGCCTTTACAACCTGCTATGGCCCTAAGTGTCCTTTGGGCTCTGTCCTGATGGAAATACCTTTGGAAAAGCAACAACTCTCCCTTTATGTCCATGGAGAAAGGCTACAGGACATGGGGCAGGCATGGTCAGCCCATTTTCCTAGGTTGAAAGTCCCTTTCCACCTAGTGGGTACTGGCCTCGGGGCTGGTGGAGCAGTGAGCACGCCATACATTATATGTGTGACACCTGCCACCCAGCCCAAGGCCCCTAGGCCCACATGCTTCTGGAGAGGGGTCTGGTTTGGAAGCACCCAAAGAATGCAGAGGAGACTCGCCCAGCAGTACCTCTGTTTGGCACCTAAGGTAACCTGACTTCCTGAGTTCCTTTCACAGCCAGCCTTGTGCTCTCCTGGCAGACCTCTGGATGCTGTCGTTCATCCCTCCAGCCCAGGTACGTGTAGGCCTGGGGGGAGCCTTGAGGGTAGAATGTTCTCTGGGCACAAATCTCACCCCCTGTCTCTTTCACAGAGACGCCCGGGCAGGACTGCGGCAGCTGGCCCAAGAGAGGCCCCAAGGGATGGCGTCCACCTCAAGGTGTTTGTTCATGGAAGATCTTAAATGTTGACCTCTCTTGAGCATAAAATCTTTTCTTGACGATTTCTGCAGCCAGTGTCAAGCTCAGAAATATGATCAGCCCCTTGATGATGGTATGTGAGCAGGTGGCTGGCCAGATGGCAAGGGTTTTTGTTTATTTACTTTCTTATTTTGAGACTTGAGAGTTTATTGAATGAATCATCCTATAATCTAATTTCCCAAGGCAAATCTGTACATAAAAATCTAGTTTCTATCACATTACTTCCTTTTTAATTGATTGACAAATGGGAGCAAAATCATGCCTTGCATGCTTTTCAGAATTTAAGAATTGCAAAGTATCTACTCTGTACTTCCTAGGTTCCCAAAGATCTGAACAAATAGACAAGCACAAATATATGCTGAAAAACACAGCAACGAGCACATGATGAAGGTGGGAATTTTTATGAATATGTGACATTTGTACTGATATTTATTGTATAACTCCTTTAACATAACTTTTTTTCAATAACTCTGTTTTTTGTTTTTTTGGGGGGAGGTGGTTTATTTGTTTTGTTGTTTTTATAGTAAGTTCTCCATGTAGTCCAGGATAGCCTTGAATTTACTGTGTAGCTGAGGCTCTCTTTGAACTTCTGATGCTCCTGCCTCTGCTTTCCAAATTCTGGCATCAGAGGTGTGTGATTCCATAACCAACTCAAGAGTCTTGTTACTCTTGTAGAGTAACACACGTGCTCACGTATACACTCTCTCTCTCTCTCTCTCTCTCTCTCTCTCTCTCTCTCTCTCTCTCTCTCTCTTTAAAAAAAGGTGGAAAGTAACTATAGAAGACACCAGACCTTGGTCTCTGACCTCTGCACACACACACAGCAAGCACACTCACAAAAACACATGTGCACATGCATATATACACAAATGAACCTAAACCTAATTGGAAATTGTTCCTCAAGAGCACCCTAAGTTCACACGTAGCTGTGCTGACAGCCACTACTCCTAGGGTCAGGAGAGATGAACACATTTGCTCCAGTAACCAACCGTCAGTCCCCCTAACCAACTTTCTTGCTTCTTCTTAGGGCCTCGTGACTTCATGAAGGAGTACCATTCAGGGAAGCAGGGAAGCAGCTGTGGTCCGCTGGTAAGTGATGGACACTTGTCCATGTGACTAGCTCTAAGGAGTTTGTGAGGAATCATGTTTTCTTCTGTAGCAAGCTACAGATTCAAGGGAAGGGTCTTGGCTCTTGGTAACTGTCAGGCATCGTCTGTCCCTCTTGCCTTTGGTGACCCATCTTTGGGGGAACCCATGACCTCTTTACTTTTGTGAGCAGCAACTATTTTCAACTGACCAGACTTTGAGGCCAGTTCTTTGGACAGATATTGGAGGGCTGGTCATAGAATACATGTTGTATGTGTGGGGAATGTCACCTGGTCCATTTGTTCTCAACATTGAGGATATGTTGAGGAAGGTTCTGGAGGTGACTGGCTGAGTTGGGGTTCTCAGTGCTTCCTGTTTGCTTCGTGGAGGCATGTTTTTTTTAAATCAAAGATTTGCAGTGTCTATGTTGGTATGCCTCTGTGTCTGATCTACTCAAAGAAGATTTTCCAGGAAGTTGAGCTAATGTTGATAGGACTTGATAATGTGGTGATAGTGAGTCATGAACATGAAGATATCCTTCGTGTCTGTTTCTAACAGTCTGTCCCACTGATGTACTGGACCTGCGTGTTGGAGCCTTCCGGACTCGTCCCGCTTCCCAAAAACTTCCTTGATGTCTTCAGTGTTCCATGGCATGTGCATGGATGCTCCAGCAGACACTTTGCTGTGACCTTTGCCATGGGTAGCCAAGATGGGCTCTATATGGAAGTAGAACTGTCTTTGGGAATCATGAGGGGAAAAACTCCTTGTCATGAACTCTTGGGGTTGGGGGTGCTTAGAGTGACTCTCTGTTAGGGCATGTGACAACCAGGTGATATATTTAGCTATGAGGTAGGCACTAGGAGTCCAGATTCTCTTCTGTTGTTAATGTAGTCATCTAGGCCAGGGTTCTCCAGAGCTGTTCAGCTTCTGATATTCAAAAGGTGAGTGTTCCTTCTATGCCTCAGGTTAATCATAGAGGTAACACCCACATTTTCAGTATCTCAAGTTGCCCTGGAATGTTTCTGAATGCAAAGTGGCCTAGGGAAAAAGCAAGTTATCTCCTCTGCCCCCACCCAGGGATCGAGGGGGGAGATGGATCCCACAACCTGTGCTTTCCACAGCAAGGTTGGTCCTGGAATCTGTCCTCTGTGGGCTGTGCCGAGGGCGCCTGTCAGCTGTCTTCTTCATTTCTGACCGATTGGGCCTCGGCTCTTGCTCTTCGGGACTAAACCCTTTTGGTATTTAAAAGGTGGATATTCCTTCTATGTTTATGGTATTTATGATTAAACATAGAGGAAATTTCACGTTTTCAGTGTCAAATGCTGCTGGGAAATGGGCCTGAACTGAAGCCACCATCAGGGCAGTGACAGTACAGTTGCCCCCTCCAGGGTAAGTGGGAAGCTGGCGATCCACAGAGCATGCGCCAGACTCATAGGTGCCTGAGGGCCATTGACCAGTCTTGAAGAGAATCTCTGATGAGCTGCTGGCTCAGCCAGAGGCCGGGGGTCTCGTTCTAGACTCTATGGCAGCATATCAGTCTTTCCCATAGTATGCCCTTGGCTTCAGATAGGTTGTTCTTAGGTCGCGCTTTCCAAGAGTAAGCCCTGTTTGGTATGTAAAAGGCAGATTTTCCTTTTGTGGTTGTGTGCTTGCTGGTTAGTCAGAGAGGGATATCCATGTTTTCAGTCTCATGTGCCTCTCGGGAGCCATGATCCACCAGGGAAACAAGGCTGGGCTCAGCACCCTCCGGGTAAGTGGAAAGGTGGTGGACTGCAGACCATGTGTGTTTCTCATATCATATGTCTGCTGGCCATCACCTTTAAGGGTCTCCTTGCCTGTGGAGCCAGCCTGGCAAAGAGGCGATGTTGCCTCACTACAGTGACGTCTGGGCGCGGGAATGAGAGCTTTTCTGTCTTGTGATCTGTTTCAGAGAAGCCCATGCACCACAGCTGGTCCTTCCCGGAACTCAGCATTTCTTTGGTATTTAAAAGGTGGATATTCCTTCTATGGTTACGTGCTTCCTGGATAATCATAGAGGAACATCCACTTTTTCAGTATCAAATGTCGCTATGGAACTATTTCTGGAAGATTCTGTAGGGTCTGGGGCGGTGGGGGTGGGGGTGGGGGCTCATCGAGTTCCTAATGAATGGGGTGTGGCCAGGAATGGTCCCAAGAAGCCAACTGATAATGTGATGTGGGTCTGATGCACTGTGTCTTCGGGGCAGCCTGCCTGCCCAATGGGACTTCCGTTTCTATCGACGCAAGCACAAGTCTGAAGCTTCCTGGATCGAATCTTTGATATTTAAAAGGTAGATTCTCCTTCTATGAGTACAATATTAATGACTAATCGTAGAGGAAAATCCACGTTTTCAGTATCAAATGCTGCTTGGGAAACCATCGAGGACACGACGCCGCCGTCGCAGAAGAAAGCATGCTAACCGTCTCCCTCCGGGGTTCGGCCGGGATAGATGATAGATAGATAGATGTGTGCCTTGTGTGATGTGTGCCTCTATGCTTGCTGCTCACAATGATGTATTTGGAGACCGCTGTGCTCTTAGTATCTCTTCCCTGACCTCAAAAAAAAGTTGTTTCTCTGTGTGATCACCATGTTTAGAATGTGTTTTCTGGAACTGACTTCTTTTTCCTTAGCCAATATATCTTGGAGAACACCTGGGTGGGTCATCATTTTGGGTAAGGGGCGCCTTGGGCATCACCCTCTGGGGGGTGTGGGGAGAAGGGACCTGTGTCATCTGCAAGTGCTAAACTCCCAATTCGCCCACCTCAGGATCACTGCTGGACTAACATCACACCTCCCATCGCCCCGGACCGGCGCTTCCCACCAGCGCTCCTTATCGTTTGCTACTTGAAGAGAGGTTATCCTTTGTGTGTTTGCTTTACGCGAAATGAATATGCAAGGGCAAGCTCTCTTCGAGGAGCAAATGCTGCCTGGAAGCAAGGCTGGCGGCCTGGGCCTAGCAGAAGGATGTGGTCACTCGAGGGTGAGTAAGTGCGTGGTGGGCCACTGTGCATGAACTCTTCCTACATCTGACTCTCCAGATCTCGTGCATGCTTCTGAGAACTTTCTTAAGAAGAACCCAACTGGGGAGATCGTACGGGCTTTTCTTGGCAGAGCTGAGTTTATCTAGAAAACGGCTTCTGCTTCTGACAGTTCTTCCCAGTGTGATGTACATATCAGCTCCTTGTTCAGTGCCATAAGAGTGTCAACTGTAATCCAGTGCCCATTTAGATGTGGGTCATATGCCCTACCCACTCTCCATAGCCAACCCATCCTTAAAGTCACCTTTAGGGCTTCCTGTCCAATTAAGGGAAGGGGGGGTTGGTGGCTATCCAAAGTAAAGATGGCCTCAGAGGTCACCAAGACTGTGAAACCTCCATCCTTAGGTGTCTGCTCTGCCTATAGTGTCGTAGCATGGGTTACTAATAATTTATTTAGACAAAGTTGGTACGGGGGATGGGGGGAGGCGTCTCATTTCCCTTTGGTGAGCCTTGCGCTGGGTGGATGTTTAGAGTGGAGGCTCACTGCTCCTCTGGGATCCTGAACTCACCAGCACCGGCAAAAGAGCTGGTGGTCTCAGCACTATTCTGGTTTGGGGAGGCGGGTGGAGGCTCTTCAAATTGGTTTCCTGCTTTTTCTTCTTTCTTGGATGATGCATGTTGCTGTGCGTTCTAATCCTGCTCTTTCTATGACCATCTGGAAGACTTCCTGGAGGCTGCGGCTGTGGGCACAGATGGAGGTTTTCTTCCCAGGGTGGCTTGGCAGGCTCTAAAGGAACGCCAATCATTCTCCGTTGCTTTCTGTCAAGTTCCGCAGGGTCTCCCCGTCTTTCGGAAGATCATGCCTGTCTTGGAGTGATGCTGAGGAGTAAACCAGCTTCAGGGCTGGGCCCCAGTGTGCAGAGTGCAGGGCCCATGCCAGAGCCGATCAACTGAGGCTTGCTTCCGCAGCCCCTGTGGTCGGCTCAAGGCCTGAGGTGGAGTCAGCCACTCTGCTGTTCCCTGGCCCCAGTCCTCACTCTTCCTGCCCTGATCTCTGCTACCTGAAGAGAGGACAGCCTCTGTACGTTCACTTTATTGATGGTGAATATGCAGGGGCAGCCACTTCTTTTCATATCGAGCTCCATCTGGGAAAGACTCCAGCCCTGCTCCATCTTTGGGGCAGGCCTCTAGCCCCAGCATCATTACACCCTCTCAGGTACGTTCCATTTCTTGGTTCTAAGATGGGCATTATGGCTGAGCAGCTAATCTTAGGTCGTCCTTGTTCCCTTGGTGCATGATTCTTTTTCTCTAGAGGACACCCTCAGGTGTGCCATGCTGGCAGGGTCGGGGAGGGGCCAGTTGTGCCTATTGCACAAGCGTTGAGTATAATAGCCCAACAGTGGCTTTCTCTTTAAAGGAGAGTGGCACACAGACCTGCCGTCTGTCTATACCAAGCCATCTCCAGAGCCTTCCTGCCCACAGCATTAACCTTAGAAGGGAAACTGTGATGTTGGACTGTCCCAACAGTGATACACGTGACAGAGTGTCACAGGGATCCACTTGTATTTATAATGGTTTCAGGCCTGATCCACCAATCTCCCAATGGGGACTTCCGGGATGTGGTGTCTGTCTTTGGGAAGAGACTGAAGTTTGTAGTCACCTGCTGCCTATCTAGCAGTCTTCTGTGGCTGGACCTATCAGAAGAGGCATTTGGAACAGCCCACCCACCCACCCAAGGAAGCAGACCAGCTTGTCCAAGAAAAGTGAGTGTTCCTCCTGGCCATGGCCCACTGCTCATCCTTGGCAGCCACAACCTGTTCTTCTGTGGGGAAGAGGTGCCAAAGAGGAGAGATGGCTCCCTCCATCACTCAGTGGCATGTGGAGTTTTACTCCTGTGTGATATTGACTTTCTTCTAGTTTTGTCCCATACCAGCATCTAGCAGAGTTAGGGGAGCAATGTCTGGTGACACCGATATCCATGACTCTTAGGGAGGCAGGAAGGACCCTGGCCTATCTCTTCCATAAATTCATTAGGTCCTCCTGCCTTCTGTGTGCGGTATACCACACTGGGTGGACATCTCAGAGTAAGGATACTACGTAAGGGTCCATCACTAAGGAAAAGACTGTTCCTAGCCAAATCTTCCCTCAGAAAGCAAGAAACTGAGTTCTGTATTTCCTGAGAGAGCCAGGAAAGGTCCCTCTTATATCCCAGCCCAAGCTCCTTGGATGGAGAGATGACCAGTGGGCACACATCTGGCAGGTGGTGTTTGCCACCTGGTCGGCTGATTGTGAATCTCCCATCCCTCCCCAGGCTAAGTCCCGGGCGACGAGGCTGACCCTGCTAGAGCGGAACCTGCCTTATGCTATTGTTTGGTACTTAAAGCGAGGTTGCCCTTTGTATATTCGGTTTATTGACATGGAATATACAAGGGCAAGCTCTCTGTGAGTATCAAACCTTATCTTGGATCCCGTCCACACTCAGCGAGGGATGTGGTATGTGTGTGCATGACCGTGTGTATCCATCTTGTGTGTGACAAACTGCTTCCTGGGTTCTCCATTTGGCACCGATGGCTTTATGGTTGCAAGATGACTTCAGGAAAGACCTTGGGAACATGCCCTCTCCTTGTTCTGTGTGGGTGGGTTGCAAAGCATGCACTGTGTGTGTAGCCTGGGTCCCTGCTTCCCAGGCAGCAGTCCCAGTCCAGGCTGATGGTCAGGTTTGTGCTGGTGTGGGCCATGGTTTTCGTTTTGGTTTGGTTTTTGGTGTTTTTTGGTTTGTTCGTTCGTTCGTTCGTTCGTTCGTTCGTTCGTTCGTTCGTTCGTTCGTTC